CTGTATTCCTTGATTCCATTACATTGGGACTCACAAAAATATCCCTCCCGTATGCCTGTCTCTCAAAATACATACAACTAAAAATAGCAGTAATATGTGGTCCCCTCTGTTCAAAAGCAAGAAATTCTGTTGTCTTACATGCTCATCTATACAAAAAGCACTTGTCAAAAATTTGGTTGATTACATATTTCAATGTCAGCAGAAGAAAAAATAAAGGGGATTATACTGCCTAGGATAGTTCTATCATCTAAAAGTCAAAAAACAACTTGAGAAGACTGGGGTGATGATTAGTCATGGATGCCAACATTATCGATTCTCACTACACCTGCCTGATTTTACATTAATTCTTAGCTATACATGCCTTAGATATGTCTCGGGTACCAATTTGTAAAAAAATCAAGGCATTTATTGAAATGTCAAGCGGTCATTTCCTTTTGCTCCAATAAGTTATATTTTCTGCTAGAAAAAAGTTTCTAAATCCTCCAAGCACAAGTATTTTCCTGAAAAATTTGAAATTTCCCTGAGAAAAAAAATTTGAGTCTGAGCCCAAGTGACATGAATTGACATTTCTCCAAATCCCATATTTAAACATTACATTTCAAAGGAGAGATATGCCCAGGAACCATGGGTTAATAGGGTTTAATTATTATAATCATTGGTTATGGGATTATCCGTAATTTTAATATTTGTATTTATAAGTATATGATATATTAATATGCTATATTCATATACTATATAATATATAGTTTAGATAGTCTTATAATGAATACATGTTACTTTTATAAGTAAGAAAAAATAAATTATTTCCATTTTAGGTGGGGGAGAACTACATCTTAGTGAATTCAGGTTTTGAGTACACCAATTTAAGAATTAAAGTTGTAGCAATATAGTACTTTTATTGTCAAAGAATGAAACTACTATATGTGTTTACCCACCTTTAGGAATTTGCCCAGAAGATACACTTCCAATAATACAAAATCGCATATGCATAACTTCATTCATTGCTGTATATTTATAATTACAAAATGTTGGAAACAGCCTAAAGGCCTTTACATAGGAGATTGATTTAATAAACTATGACACATCTACACAATAGGGTACCATGCAACAATAAAAGAGGTTGAGGAAGACCTATATATATGGAGTGATTTCCAGGATATATTGCCAAATTTTTTTAAAATGTACAAAAGGAATATATAATATACCTTTTTGTGTAAAAAAGGAAAATAAGAAAAATGGATATATCTGTTTATTTTTGCAAATATAAATACGGGAATGATAAATCAGAAACAAATGTCATTGGTGATGACACAGGGTAGATGGGAAAGGACTGAAAGAGGGGAGGGAGGACTCTTCTGACTGTATCTTTTCACCTAATTGTGACTTTTGAACTCATGTTAATACTTTACGTACTCAAAAAAAAAAAATAAACTTGACCCAACAAGGATGGGGAAACCCCTTAGTGGAATATAAGCAGAAGCAAATGAACAGTATTATATTTCAAATGAATAATTTAACTACACTGAAGGGGTAAAAAACAAATTCTTTGGAACAGTATTCTGACTACTTAGTAGATTTGTTTTTCTAAGTGGTATTGGTTAGCAATTCCTTCTCTGTGTATTGTAGGACTGAACGAATGAGTAAATATATTGATGTGTTGAGAACCAAATTTCTATTAGAGAAAGGAGATACAATTATGAAATAAGAAAGGGTGAAAAAAACCCATGCAGTACTGAATGGTAATTAGTTCATGATTTTTATTCATGTAGTTATAAACATAAATAGAGCTAGGGATAGACATAGGCAAGTGATGGAGATATAGATTCTACTTTTGTTGGCTGAACGGGCCTAGATGCACTGATAGCCCTGAAGCCACTAGGGTTCCAGTGTTCACTAAATGGAACCAGGGCTCCTTGGAGAAATTACTCATTCCAAAATTAGTGCAGAGAAAGTACAAGATGATCCTGAAACATTTATTTTTGTACCAGAAAATAAGGAAGTGCTCAAAAAATGATGGGAATAGGTCAAAAGGACACAGGGGCCCACTTAGGAGTCCTGCCAGCTGAATCCGAGGACAATTTGAGTACTGAAATAAATAACAATGATAATGTATTTTAATCCATTGAAATAAAAAAGAATCTGTGAGTCTGTAAAGATAAACAAATAATAAATAAACAGACAAGAAGAGAATACTTATCCTTATAGTAGAATGCTAACAAATGTAAAATAATGGAGTTTTGAAAAATCACCTCTTTTGTAACTGCCACAGTAAAAGTTGAATCAGGGAAGGATTATCAGTGGATATTAAAGCCAATGGGTGAAAACTTAATGGGAAACAGGATACGGATAGAGTTTCAAGTGTCTTCCTACAAATGATTTATAAATTACAAAGGGAAAAATGCTATCTTTATAGAAGAGAAGCCTAGTGAACACCAACTTCACCAAGTGATCAAATCTGGTGTTAATAATAATGGCACAAAGGAATACCCTGTGCTTCCAAATGTGAAGTACCAAGGACAAATATCACCAATGTACTGTTCCTGCCAAAAATGCATTGCATGAATCCAATCATGAGGAAATGTCAAACAAATCCAAATTGAGGGACAATCTACAAAATAAATGACCTAGACTCTTCAAAAATATCATCATTATTTGTTATAGACTGAGAAATTGTTGCATATTATAAGAGATGAAAGATTTAAAAAAAAAAAACTTAATGCAATGAATGATTCTGCTTCAAATCCTGGACCAGAAATGAAAATATGGTAAAGGACATTATTGAAAATGTAAGAAAAATTTGATAGATCTGTAAATTAGATTATGTATAGTGTTGTATTAACATTAAACTTACTGATTGTCTTTGTATGAGTTAATGACCTTGATCTTAGCAATTATATACCGGGCATGATGACTACAATGAATTCTCAGAAAGTTCAGGGGAAAAAGAAAGATACATGTAAATAAATATACACAGTGAGAATGTTGGCAATTGGTGAAGCTTATAAAGAGTTATAAAGAGTTCTTTATACTATTCTTGCAACCTTTCTGTATAACATAAAATTCTTTCCAAAAAATATTTTTAAATTCTAATTATTGTTTACATTTTCAGATTTTTAAATAAAACAAGATTATTGTAAAAGGTACGCTACATACTGAAAGCTATAAAGTAAAAATAGCAAATCCCCTATAATTCCATGACCCATTAAATCATTGGTATTTCGTTCAGAATGATTTTATACACACATATTTCTTTTTAATAGAATAATGAGTATGCAAAGGAAGGTATAAGATTATACAATCTCTGTGCAAAAAAAATGTAACTTTAATTTTTCTCAGACTGATCTTTTTATTTCTTTGTCGAGCACTGAACAATTGAGCCATTTTCAGAGAAACTCAGAAGCAATGAGGCATCCAGAGTTATTAATCTTGGTTCAGGATTGTAAACATCCCCCACTTGTCTCCTCATAGTGGGATACAAATTCCAGCGGATCCTCTCTAGTTGCCAGGCCATGGTGGGGCAGGAGAACATTGATTGGAGAAATTGTGTCTATATAAAGATCTTAACTTTATTGCTGTATATCTGGAAATAGTTTTCTATTTGGGTGTTGTCTTTCAGCCTCTGTGTATTGCACGTTTTACCCTGCATAAATTTCTAAACTAAATCCTACAAGTGAAGAAACTATGTTAAAAAAAAAAGGCCAATGGCACTAAACTAACATTTCAATTAGTTGTAATCAATGACCATAATTCAACTGAAATCCTAATAGAAAGCAACTGGATTTGTTTTCCTTGACGGTCAGGTCACAAGATTTTTCAACAGCAGCAAAGCCTCTGTCCCTGGATGAACTCTTCTTTATATCAGAGAAGAATCTAGAACATTGCCAGTCTGGCAATCCAAAAATCTGACCAATAGTATTGCCCCTGAAATAAGTACTGGGATATCTTTAGTTCATAATCGTGTTTTGAAAGATTAAAGAAATACATACAGTTTTTTAAAAAAAACTTTAGGCAATAAAAAGAGCACAAAATAAAAATTTTATCTCCTTTTCTTACTATTAATTCCTGCCTCTCCTAACCCAGACTTTATTATGTAAATTAGGGCCTGACGAACTACAGCCCACTACCTGTTTTTGTAAATAAAGTTTTATTGAAACACAACCATTCCCATTCCTTTATTATCTATGACTGCTTCCTTTTTGCAACAGCAGAATGAGGATTTGTAACAGAGACTGCATGGCCTAAAAATTCACTGTCTAGTCCTTTGCAGATGTGCAGATGTTTCCTGACTTCTGAAAAATGACAGCATACTGCACATACTGTTCTACATTGTGCTTCTTCATTTAACAATAGCCATACATTCAAGATATACATCTACTGCTTTCTCTCTAGAGGTGGAATAGTATTCTATCATTTGTTTAAACAAATTCCATAATTTGTTTAACCAGTCTTTTTGGCTATTTTCTGGTCTTTGCTACCATAATAAATGATATTTTTATGAATTTGTGCAAAGTACATTTTTTGGGACAGTTTTTACAACTGAAACAACTGAATGAAAGCTATGCACATTTTTATTTTATTAAATATTGCCTCATTGTCAAATTTAAAATTGATATAGAGTTGATTCAATTCCCAAGTGACACCTACACTTCTTTTATTCTCCCTTTGGTTTCAAGAATTCCAGGCAGAAAAATATAGCTAAAGATTATGAATGGGATGATAAATATAATAAGGAAGGTACAATCTATCATGGAATTAGAGTTCAAAAAACAAAAAAAGAAGAAAGGCATAACATAATACCATACATAATTCATAATCTCTGTGCAAAAAAACCTTTGAAATAGTACATATTCATAGGAATGAAAAAGAAAAAAGGGAATAATGAAAATCTGGCTTTTAGTGGATTTGAGGAATAATAGAAAACTTTATTTTACAATTCTCAAGAAAAAAAATCATTTGCATTTTGCCAAAATTGTTTTATACATTAGGTATACATTATTAAGTTAAATAATGGTTTCAAATGTGGGTAAATATGTCTTTAGTTGCAAAATTTCGGAAACAGGCTGTACTTTTTCCTGGTAAAAGTCAAGCCCAGTAAGAAGTTCCACGTCTCGAACCCGCGCAATGTGTGCTTTAAATCTTTCTTCAACCCACAGATCTTCTGGTTTATTTTCCTGAAAAAGAAAAACACAGATTATTTTTCACAGGCCATGATTTTTTTCATGAGCAGAAATATTTTTTATTACTTAGAAGTTAGGTACTGTGAGGTTTTTGTTTGTTTTGTTTTTTATTCAGGATAGATGATCTGAAGTCTTCAGGTGAAGGAGTATGACAGAATGAAAACTAAACTTTAAGATGAGTAAATTCATAGTAGTGCACACAGGTGAATGTGAGGAGAACAGGAGTCAGCAAATCTACTTAAGATTCATTTCCAGAAGTCCTGAGAGAAGGTCATGAGGGCCTAGACCAGGGATAGCAAATAGTTTCTTCTTCCTATACCCGTTATACTCACTCCTTAATGGCTACCTAGAACCTCTGTAAGACGAACTATTTAATCCCAATTTCATGGTATAGAGCACCACATTATCAGTTATCAATGTCTGCCACTGGAAGAGGAGGTGAAGAATGATGGCTTATCCTTATAACTCAACTAAATAAAATGCTGAGAAGAAAAACAGAAAGTGATTCTTCAACTCAACGTCTCCTGACAGTTTCTTGTTTGGAAACTTTTCTTCCTCATTTCAGGACCATGAATGGTCCACTGTTCAACCTCTAACGTTTGGCCTCCATTTTTAGTCACTGAAAGATCACAATTCACTCAAGTAAAATCCTTTCTGCAAGACCCAGCTAAAATGTCACCTTCTGTCCTTTGAAATCCTAGAATACTTTATGTGTCCCTCTCTTGTGCCAGGTATCTCTCTCTTCTATTTTCTAGGCTTGTAAGTGCAAGTACACAGTATGGTGAAGGCAATCAGGCTGTTGAACACCTGAAAGAACACCGATGAATCCCAGTCTGGCCTAGAACCTAAGCTTTTGATTTCTAGTTTCTAATAGCCTGTGAGACTTTCCACGTCAACCACCATTTCCACAAACTTTACATGCCTACACTTAACTATCCTATCTACCTGCCAAAAAGCTCTCATTCCTAAGTTTCCTCTTTCTTTTTCCAAATTATCTACATTTCAAAATTCTGATTCAGCTTTGAGTTTCCCTTTTCCTTTGGCTCTTGCCAAAAGGATCAGTCGCCAAATCCTCTCCATGGAAGACTCTTCATGATCTTCTCAATCTATTCAAATTCTTCACATCCTTTAAGGCCCAGCCCTACTCTCACTGAATGTATTTTTAATTTTAAACACTAAAGCCTTTTAACAGTGTTTGACAATTGACTGCAAACTTTGTGACATCTCTTCCTTATTAATTTTTAAAATAATTCTTACATAATTGACTGACCCTGTAATCTCATTTATATGTCAAAGTTGTATATAAACTCCTCAAGGGCAGCGATGATGTATTCCTCCTTCGTGTATTCCAAAGAGTTTCTATCATGATACTGTGTACTTAATAGGCACCCATTATATTTGTTGAATGTCTTCAATAAAAAACAATTTCCAGGATACATATTTTTTTCCTATTAAAGAATATTTATATTCTTCCTTCCCTTATTAGAGAGTGAGCATACAAGGCATAAAAATAAAATACATAAGGGATGCATATATAAACACATGTTCCTGTATGCAGATGCATGTTTAAATGATATTAACTACATAGAAATCAACAGTCTAAGGAAAAGCTCAAAAATGAAGTCATTTTTATCACAACTGTACCCATGAAACACTTAAAAAGTATATTTTAGCCCAAATGAGCTCTGAGATCATCATTTTCTCTCCCAAAGCGTACTCACAGGACAGCTCTCCACGTTGGTAGGTCGGTGAGGGATAATAAAGGGGAGGACATCCAGCCACCCAGGGCAGTCGTCGGGTGTGTGGCTCCCGCTTTTACAACTTGTCAGCACTACAAAGTAGTGTGTTGGGATGGGAACACTGGTGTTGGCTACATGTCTAAAAACATAATTGAAAAGATTCGGTGCTATTACATTTTTGCTTCTAAAGACTGTAAATGTCTTTACATAGTTTTAAAGAAATGCCAAGGTAAAAATCTAGTAAAAGAAAGTAATGAACAGAAAGCACCGAGTCCTATTATGTATTTTTTTTAAACTTCAATCAGGCAGAACAGAGATTTGTAGTAGAGTCCAAGCTTAGTCATTTTAGCATTATGGGAAAATATTAGAAGACAAAGAAAAGCAGAGCTTGACGTTCTGCTTCCTTTGTTTCCTAGTTTTGTTGACTTTATACTTATACTGGTGTTTTCTAATAGAGCCGGCGCTGAGAATGTAGGAGCCCAGATCCCAACCCTAGCTATGTACTTACTTCCATTAGATGTTCGGACTTGCACTCATTCTCTAACATTCTATGACTTACTAAGTTTCCTCAACTTTAACAAGGAGGTGACCCTGTACTAGCAACTTCACACTGTAGACATGGGGATAAATCCATACAGCTGATATGACAGTGCTTTGGTTTCAGATAATGAATGTAAAAGTGTTTTTAAAAGTTTTAAATGTAAAATAAAGGTAAGATATTAGTACGTGTCCACTAAAAGAAAAAAAAATACAAGCTGGTATAAATAGAAACATATTACTGTGATTTAGAACATGGACTCAGAGCCAGACTGTCTGGGTTCATATTCTGGCTTTCCCACTTATTAGTTAAAGAATTTAGATAAGTTATTTAACTTCTTTGTGCCTTGGTTTCCTCATCTCTAACTAGAGGCTAATGGACCTTAACATGGCATATCTTCCTGGTTCAAATGACGTGTATGTGAGTGGCTTAGAAAGTATGCAGCATACAGTAAAGCGTATCAAAGTGTGTTAGAATTATTAAATGGTGAAAGGTAGAATCAATAAACACTGGAATAAACACAAGAACAAAATAGGAAAAGGCCACACACTTAGTAGTCATAAAGGTGTAGTTAAAAGTCGCTGCTTTACATAATCTAGGCTTAGAAAGTACAATTGTTTAGTTTCTTCCTTCCTATATTTTGATAATAAAGAGAAAAGATGGATGAAACTTTTGTCTAAAACTCTATTACTGTTTGTTGTATTCAAAACTAATTTTTAGCAACCTACTAAGACCAAGCTTAGTACTAAGATGTACAGTTTAGTAAAACTAGTTTTCTGCACCTTCTCCCGGGAAATGCTTTTATGCATTATTCACTATTCTTGTGAAATTTACCTTAGTCTTTACTTGATGTTTTCCACTCATTGTTGGACTGGTTTTATGTTTATTGATAGTACATGAACTCTTCCCTATTCCCTTACTTAGCCTTTACAAAATCTTTATCTTTGCACATTAGTTTAGAAATTTTCCAAATAAAGTTTTTCCTAAACTTTTCCTGGAAATGTTTTGTTTGATGTTTAGTTTAAATTTTTGCCATATAAAATTTTTGCTAAATATTTAGATGGACTAGATTGAAAATAGTCAACAATAACATCTGCCTATGTATATATTATGTAATATTTAAAATACTGAGCATTTATTTAAAATATTGAGATTTCCCCTCATGATACCCTATTGCTAAGTCAAAAGGTCAAACTACTTACTCTGTAATTTCATCTGGAGCATCAAAATGGCCATCATAATTATAATCGAATATTGGTCCACTAACCACATTTACTCCATTTCTCTCGGTGGCATGTTTTATAAGAAGAACACTGTGGAAGTAGTCCCACATTTCTAAAAGTAAGAGAATAAAGTGCTAAAAATATCTACCTCTGTTGAACATGGAAATATTTTCTATTACAGACAAGTACATTTAAATAGCATGAAATTCTGCTCCAATAATTGTCAGTGGTGATTGTGTAATTCTACAAAATAGTCCATACGACAAAAATGTGCAGCCACTTTGATGATAGCTTTTTGTTGCTATAGTTGTAGTCTTGAAATTACTATTAAATATATCTCCAAATTTCTCCCTTGGGTGAGTTGCTTATGAGATAATAAGAGTTAAAAATAGTCAGAACACACATGTTGCCTTATTATTATTCCTGGGACGAACATTTACCTTTCATTTATTTACTTTCGGTGTCAATAAAATTTAGTTTTGTGAATAGCTCTTTACAGTTAAATTAAGGGTTAAAAGAAATTATCAGAATTTTAGCAACAAATCACTCAAAGTTGAAGCAAGTTGAAAAGAAACCATGTCAGTGATCCTTCCTTACCTATATTTAAAACACTAGAAAAAAATGTTTCTTAATATCAGGACCAAATTACAATAAAAGATATGTTTACTTTGGAAGTTCAGGAAGTCACTTAGGTATTTTAAAATTGATAATCTAAATACATACTTACTTTTGAATTCTTCATACATAGGGACCAAATTACTTGTAATTAAGGCATCATATTGACTATCAGAGGTTCTATTGTTTGCTGCAAAACAAATGGATCTTATTAAATCTAGCTATAAAAGAAAATGACATACTACATAATAGGCCTATTACTATTACATATTAATGTAAATTTAACAACAATCCAAACACAGAAATACTGAGTCCTTTCTACTAGAAGTCATCAATAATGCAGGCGGTTTTATGCATTTGATACCTCTACTGGGTTGATTTGTGATCTGCAAAAGGATTCCTTCAAGTCCCAACGCCCCCACACCTGCAAATGTAAGCTCATTTGGAAACAGGGTCTTTGCAGATGTAGCTAAGGGTCTCTAAATGAAATTATCCTGGATTTAGGGTGGGCTCTAAATCCAGTAACTGGTGTCCTTATAAGAGTGAGATTTGAGAAGGGAAGAGACACCTGGGAGAAGGCCATGTGACAACAGAGGTAGAGATTAGAGTGATAAATACAGCAAAGTGCCAGGCAATGCCTGGAGCCACTAGAAGCCAGAAGAGAGAAGGAAGGATTCTCCCCTAGAGCCTTCAAAGGGAGCATGACCCGGTCAACACCCTGATTTTAGACTTTCGGCCTCAGGAACACATTTCTGTTGTTTTAAGTCAACAGTTTGTGGTAACTTGTTACAGCAGCCCTTGGAAACAAATAAAATGCCAGATATGGATGCACAGTTATTGCATGTGCACAAAATAATGATGCTATTATAAATAAATCTCTTCCAAAATAAAATTTACTTAAGAAAATGAGTTTTTACTCAATGAGGACTGCAGATGGGAACACCACAAATGATGGGCTCTGAGGACTCGTGGACATGCCGTGTAGCACGTGAGTGTTCAGTGAGTGCTCTGGAAGCAGAAAGCCAGCGTAGGAACCCCGGCTCCACTGAGCGCCGGCTGCACCCTCTGGGTAAAGTGCTGTGTCCCTGTGTGTCTCATTTGTCTTGTGGCATCCATCATAGAGTTATTATCAGGATTAAAAGCTGAAAACCTATAAATTCGTATTATAATACTTTTTTCATTTTATTTTATTTTGATAAGAACACTTAACAAGAGATCTACCCTTTCAATAAATTTTTAAGTGCACGATTCGGTATGGTTGACTGTAAGCACAATGTCGTGCAGATCTCTAGAGCTTATTCATCCTGCTTGACCGAAACTTTACGGCCATTAATTAGTAATTCCCTATTTCCCTCTCCCTGAGCCCCTGACAGCCACCATTTCACTCTGATTTCATCAATTTGACTATTTTAGATAATTTGACAACATGGATGAACCAACTTGAGGCCACCATGTTAAGGGAGATAAGTCAGTTACAGAAAGACAAATATTTGCATGATTTCACTTACATGAGATTTCTATTAAACTTTTTATATTTAAACTAAACTTGGGTATCTTAACTAATTCTTAGACAAGACAACAATGGGCGGGCACGCCCAGGCAAGGAGAATCATGTAGAGTTTTTCTTAACATTTCACCTGGCGTTCATGGTGTTCACAGCCCGAATAAGACTTTTCTCCTTTTAAAACTGAGCCCAAAAAGTTGGAAGGGCAATAAACATAACATTACCTTTGTTTCAGAGAAAAATAAGTTTATAATAGAATTTCTATTTCTAACAAATAGCTAGAATTCATAGTGGAGAGTTAGAAGGGAGTTTCATTTTATCCTTAATTTTTTGAGACAAGCTGTTTAGTTATTAATTTCATTTCATTGTCAAGGCAACCATTTATTTATTAACTAATATTTTATGATACCCCTAATTGTATCTTGGTACTTAAAAAAATGTCAGTTTATTTATCCTAATTCTATTAGAGGTTTGAAATTGATATGTTACTTGCTTCCATGAAGCCTTTTTTCCCAATATAAATCCAAGAATCTCTAAATTATAAATCTCTGAATTGACCATCTTTGGCCATGGCTTGAAGAAAAATGAGGCCAAATATCAGGAGGTTCCCAGAAACTGAAATTTTTGAAAATCTCATGGGCAAATTAATGAAAATGACATTTGTTGCTGCACAGAGAAGAGGCTTGAGTTTTAGAAAAGTCACATTGGCTTTTGCATGTTCCCAAGAGAGATCTTGTTTTCAGAAAATAAAATAAAACTTAAAGTTCATTTGGCTGCTTAATCTGCAGTTGAAAACTGTTGGACACGCAGCATGAGTGATAGGCTAGAATTCCAGCCTGATTTCTTTTCACAGCACAGCTGCAGCTGTGTTCTCCGTGCAGACCTTAGCTTGGGCAGGAGCCAGAAGAAATGGTTTTTTAGATGCTTATGTCCTTCTGCAAAGAATCTTCAGTTTTAAAATTAAACTTAAACCTGCTGAACTCTCTAAACATCTGGGCCAGATGAGAGCTGATGTGTGGGTCCCACTGCAAAATTTCTTATTCTTTATTATAGATGCCATGCTTCTCTGGCCAGCCCACAACCACTGGAAGCCTCTCGGGCAGCTAGCTTAGCCCAAGCAGGTAGTTTTGACGGGGAGTGTATGTTTAAGGCACATGCCCACATCCAGCTGATGAGGGCTTTCTAAGCTACTACTCTAAAAAAGAGTTCTACCAACCAGGAGGATAGAGGAAGCCGTGGGTGATATTGTTGTCTGCTAAATAGAAGGAACATTTTTGGCTCTCAGAAGGAGTAACCCTGACATCAGCCCGCAGACAGTCTGGAACAGTGGGAGGAAGAGGAGATGTGTCTCCCTGTTGAAAGAGAGAAAAGAAAAAAAAATTACGCCCACAGTTGTGGCTCACCCATTGCCTTATATGGTTTGTCACTTCCCTAGAATGTTTTTCATTTAAGCTTTTCCTATTTTCTTAGTGAATCAAGTCTATGCAAGCAATGGGAATGGACATTTTCAGCAATGTTTTCTTCTGTGGTTCTCTTCTGGTTAGGGACATTGGGAGGGCAAATCAAATACACCTTGGAAAAAAATATTTGCAGAGTAAAATCTGAATTGAGAGCAGAGGAATGATGGGAGCTATTGCTAAAAACCAAAACCCTTTTTCAGGATCTAACTTTTAGATGATGATATATATTGTACTTGTAAATAAAAATTGAAAGTCGAATGTAAATAATTTATTTTTAAACTACAGATATAAACTAAGTATATTATTCTTCAGCTGGGCAAGGACTTCTAATCAACCTAAGATTAATTCAAAGAAGGTGTAGTTGTCTAAACATACATATTTTTGGATTTAAATAAATTTGCAGCTATATTTCACTCATTATGAAATACAGGGATATATTTTTTTATAATTTCTTTATAATTTTACTTATTTATTTATTTGGCTATCTATCTATCTTTCTATCTATTTATTTATTTATTTAGATAGAGTCTCGCTTCGTTGCCTGGGCAAAAGTGCTGTGGTGTCAGTCTAGCTCACAGCAACCTCAAACTCCTGGGCTCAAGCGATCCTCTTGCCTCAGCCTCTCAAGTAGCTGGGACTACAGGCATGTGTCACCATGTCCAGCTATTTTTTTTTTTCTATTTTTAGTAGAGGTGGGGTCTCGCTGATGTTCAGGCTGGTCTCAAACTCCTGAGCTCTAGCGAGCTTCCGCCTTGGCCTACCAGAGTGCTAGCGTTTACAGGTGTGAGCCACCGCGCCTGGCCTATCACTCTATTTAAAGACTGGTAGGATAATATGTTCATGAGATGGCATTCTATAAATATGCTGCCTAACTCAACTATTTAACGTAATACTACATTACATCATCATCATATTTTGATTATCATATAATCACGGGTACATTTTGCTATTGGTTTAGCTGTTTCAGAGATTTTGATTTTTATACGCCCTCTACTGCCCACAATGGATATCTTCCTTAACAAAACTTGACATAATTTATATTTTTAAAAAGTTAAGTTAGATTAGGATGTCCTTCCTTTATCCACTGCATTGTGCTGAAAGCATAAATTAGCTATGGTGTCTAAAATGCCTGAGTTAGATTCGCAAAGGAAAAGTCAACATGCACTGTGTGCTATATTCATAGCAAGAGAGTACCATGCTGTGGTATAGTACAGGTAGGAGGTGAAGATTAGAGGGAAAGCCAAGCAGAGATTTTATCCCCTGACATACCGCAATGCTTCAGCCAGAAAACATTACACAGAAGTTGAGTAAACTTCTCGATTTGATTGAACACATCCATTTATCCTGCTCCCTTCTAAAATTCCATTAAAAGGACAATAATAATGAAGACACATAAGAGATGACAGGAAATGGTCAGAAGCTGGAAATTAGATAAACACATACTAACCTGACTTAGTAGATCAGTACACACTGACTGCCAAGAGCCTATATTTGGGGAAAGCACCAAGAAGCAGATTCCTACTGTAGAATCCCAGAGGGGAAGAACCTGGAGTCTCCTAAAGACAGTGGGTGTGCATAAGGCTGGAAACAGAAGATAGACTGAAAGTCTGCAAAAAAAAACCCAGACAGTATGTTGACTCTCTGGAGCGTCTGAACTAGAGGGATGACCAGACTAAAGGACACAGGCACAGTGAAGAGCAGGGTCACCACACTGAAAGCAATGGGATTAAATAAAACTACATACTGAATGACAAGACTCTCCCAGCCTCATTGCCTTAGGTATCCTGCATATCGTATACACTGGCTCAAATTAGAAGTGTCTTCTCTTTGCAAAACAAACCAGTCTGAAAGGAAAACCAGATACTTTCAGTTGGTAGTCTCAAACAAAATAGCTGATTCTCTTCCACATCAACCTACAGTGGAGCTAACCAGCTGGAAAGCCCCAGCCATGTAGTTTAGTGTCTCACCCTTAAAATACAAACTGATAGCCAAGGTCTACTAGATACTGGGGCACAGGGAGAAGAAAAAGAGTCAATGCAGAGAACAGAAGAAAACTCTCTTCTCAGAGAGTATATATGGCACCCATAAAGAAACAACAGAAAGCAATAAAAAAAGATAACAGAAAGAGCTCTTGAGATTTAAAAATACCATAGCAAAAAGAAAATATTTAATAATATCTAGAAGATGAAGTTGCAGATATGTCTCAAAAGTGATATTAAAGAAATGGACGAAAGTAAGGAAAACAGACACATTAGACGATCAGTCCTGGAAAGTCTAATGTCCTGTTAATTTTGAAAAAAAATTTATTTCTAAAACTCCAAAGCCAGTTAAAATATCAATTAAGCATATAGACAGAATGAAAACATTTTGAGACACATAAAGCCTCAAAAATGTATCTTCCCTTCTTTCTTTCTCAGGAAGCCCCTGAGTGATACAGTCCACCAAAACAAGAAGTAAACCAAGCAATATGAAAATATTTGTATTAAGTGCATTAGATTAGCTCTCACCATTTATTTCACTCTCCTTCAGGTGGCAGAGTCTGGAAAGCTAAAAACACTTGTTCACATTCTTTCAAAAATGTATCATAGAAAACCATTTGGAATGACCAGGTTTCTCCACTTGGTATAAAGGGCACATAAGTTTGTTGTGAAATGGAGAAATGAGGAATATCAACTGCTGAGTCAGCCCTACAGACACCTAGTGTATTGTGAGTTTGATATTTCCTAACACACACCTTTATCATTTTATTCTAATGTTCCACATTAGTTTTACTTGAAGTAATATACAGTACATAAGTGTAGCTATACATGCATTTTCCACAATGTAAGGAAACTGAGATGCCTATATTTGATAGTTAAAATTATGAAAATGTTAAGAAGGGAAGTTTATTGTAATTTTTTAATGAGACTGTGGCTGTCAAAGTTGTACTCAAACAATTTAGTTGGGCAAAATGTTTCCCATTTTCTCAAAATAACATAGACTTTGGGTTTTGGGAAATGGGATGGGATAGCTTCAACCAGAAAGTACTAAAAAAAAGTTACAAATTTTTGCTAACTGAAAATCATGAGATTTATTTCAAACTTGAACTCTCAAATAGAAGTGCATCAAGCCCAGGAAAGAGGATGTGGCCTCTTTTATAAAAACAAGATTATGCAATACGCAGCCCTCCAGAAGGATGGAGAGGAGATAGGGGTCCATAATTGCTGAGCCTTGGTCTCACGAGAGAAAGTAATAGTGAACCATTACCACCACCATGACCACCACCACCACCACCACCACCATCACCACCACCATGACCATCACCACCAATACCACCACCACCACCACCACCATCAACACCACCACCACCATCACCAACACCAATACCATCAACACCACCATCACCACCACCACCACCATGACCATCAACACCAATATCACCACCACCACCATGAACACCATCCCCATCAACACCACCATTAACAATACCACCACCACCACCATCACTATTACCACTGCCACCACCACCATTACCACTACTGTCATCACCACTACCACTACCACCACCACCACCACCACTACCACCATCACCATCAACACCAATACCACCACCACCACCACCACCACCATCACCACCACCACCACCATCACCAACACCAATACCATCAACACCACCACCACCACCACCATCAACATCAACACCATCACCATCAACACCAATATCACCACCACCACCACCACCATGAGCACCATCCCCATCAACACCACCATCAACAATACCACCACCACCACCATCACTATTACCACTGCCACCGCCACCATTACCACTACTGTCATCACCACTACCACTACCACCACCACCACCATCATCATTACCACTACCATCATCACCACCACCATCACCACTACCAATACCACCATCACCTCCATCACCACTACCACCACCGCCACCACCACCACCATCATCACAACTACCATCATCACCACACTGCCACCACCACCATCACCACTACCACAACCACCATCAATACCACCACCATCACCATCACCACCACCACCATTACCACTACTGTCATCACCACCACCATCACCACTACCACCACCACCACCACTGCTACCACCACTATTGCCACCATAATCAAATCACCATCATCACTACGACCACCATCACCACCACCACCATTACCACTGCCACCACCATCACCACCACCATCACCACCACTGTGACACACATACACAGCTTCAATCTTGACATCTTTTGAGAGTTCCCTGGAATTTTTGAAGCCAGGGGATAGAAAGTCAGGAAAACAATAAATAGAAATCAGACACTCAGATGAAACCTGAACTCCCTAGCTTACAAAATCCTTCCAGAGAAGTAGATGATGAGCACAGACAGAAACATGAGGTGCTGTTACTTCTAGTCTGGCATGGGGACAAAACAGAATTTGAACAGAGGATAAAATTACTTTTGTTGAAGTTATAGATGCTTCCTACTTGTAGGTTTAATGTAAAATCAAAACTTATTTATTTGAAGATTAGATATTTAAGATCTTGCCTATATATATAACTAAACATATATATATATATATATATATATGGTTGTGTGATTTTTTTCTATAGGGAGAATGATTTCTCGTAGTTCAAAAAAAAGGTTTGCAACACACAATGATTTTCCTAGTTTTTAAAGACTCACAAAACATGATTAGGTCATAATTTATAATAGCAGAGGTAAGCTTTAGAAACAAAAAAAGGCTTTTTAAAAATTCAGTAATGTGTGCTATATACATAAATGGAGAAAGAAAGAGAAAGAGAGAGGCATTTTTCAAAGTTTGTTAGATTTTTCTTCTCTGAAAAAGTTCTTTGATTTCATATTAAATTCAGAAGTGTCTATTCTAAATAATAATCATAATTCTTGCTCTTATTTTTAATTTTTTATCTAGCAACAGAAAAACTGGTTCACACCTTCCTACTGAGCAGGTCCTGAAGCAAAATCCATGCACAGCCTGACCAACCTTAATGGTTTTGAAGCAGTTGTTGTAGGACCATGATTTCAAATCACAACGACTTCCCCAGAACTCTTCTGAGATAACAACAACAAAAGTTAGAAAACCCACCAAAACCACAGAAAAACAAAAGCTCCATAAAACTTAAGGGCACCGGCCAATCGGGTCCATGGTCTAAAAAGTGCTTATTTCAAGTCTGATTTTTCAAGCACAGAGCTGATTTACAACATTTTTATGTGAATCCCAAAACATCCTTGTATGTAATTTTCCTGAACCACAACACACTAACAGAGTAATTTCTGAATTAGAAAGCAGAAAATTGCTAGAATTCCATCCTGTCACATGGAGGGAGAAATACACAAGTAGTTCTGTGGGATCAGTGAAAGGACAGGAACTTTTGGTAACAAAGCAGCTAGTTTTAAAACAATAACAAAGAAGAATTGTACTAAACTCCTAGTCTAAGCCTACTTAGAATCTCTCTGCCTTTGGTTTCCGCTGAAGCTCATATAAATTCAGGAATGCAAGACAGCAGGGGAATGTATTAAAAATATAAACATCCCCTTTAATACCACACAAATCCTAGTACCTGGATTTTTCAAAATAGAGAATCGAATAAGACTGACCTTGAATATGCTGCCCCCCTCAAAAACTAAAATAAAATAGAAATTATTTTAAGGAAAGTTGTATGTTGAAGAAAATCACAAACAACTGAACTTTGTGCATATTGAGAAAGTCATGTTGCCACCAACCATGCCTATGAACTCAGGTAACTGTTGGTAAAATATTTGCCCACATTGGGAAGCAAACAACATTAGTACTCTGTTACCACTGACCGCAATTGAACCACTGGCAGCAACAGAGATGGCTTTCAGAACATACACAGCTTTAATTAGTAACAGGAAAATATGCTTATTTTTCTCCAAAAATCTTGAATTTGAACAAGAAGAGTAAATAAACCAGATACAAGCAATTACTTCCTTTCTATAAAAGAGGTGGTACTCTTAACAAGATCAGTAATTGCTAGAGTTTGTCATCAGTCTCTGGATCTAAAACACTAAGATTATTTCTACAAAAAAGCTTCCTGATTATTTATTTACACTTCTGGTTGACAACAGCACAGCTTTGTCATGAAAAGCCTTTTAAAATAATGATTGGGATTAATCCATCCAGTGCACCATTTCATTCAATGAGCATTTAGCGGGCAACTTTATTGTGCTGGTGACATATTAAATAAAACCATCCCTACCCTGAAGGAGTGTTTGGACTGATTTTTGGCAGACTTTAAGCTTTATTCTAATTTATAATACATTTTCTTTATTGCCAATGAGGTTCAATGCTTAGTTCATACCCTTTGTCCATTTATTAAGTATATGCTTGTCATTCTCTTGTTTATTGGTGGAAATTTATTAGCTATTCTGGATCCTAATTACTATTCTGGACACTCATCATTTGTTTCTTACATGCAATGAAAATATATTGCCCCATCCATAACTTTGTCATTTTGTCACATGTTAATGTTCATATAGTCAAATTAATCAATGTCTTTTGTATTTTCGTTGTTGTTATTCTTCTGTCCTAAGAAATCCTTCTCTATCCCAAGGTCATAAGGATATGCACAAAGGCAAACCTGGATTTATTAATATTTAGGTCTGTTAATCGACCAGTAATTCAATTTTGTGTGTGGTATAAGGTAGGGATCTAATATTTTCTTCCTGTTGGGCAGTCAATTGTAGCACCATTTAGTAAAAGGGAGTTTGCCAGATAGTCAAGAGGGAAGAGGATTTAAATCAATGGATTCTCAAGCTCAGTCTAGAAAGATCTGTGACATAACACATCTGTGCATGTAAGTCTAGCCTGACTTATTAGAGTGCTAGATCCTTCACAAAAGGATTACATTTTATTCACATTGTGTTCCTTGAGCCAATCACAGCACATACATAGCAGATAATAAAGTATATGTTACAAAATCAAATAAATACAAAGTCTTTTATGATCTAGTTATCTTTACTTTCCAGGCGCACCCACCATATACTTGGGGAATACCAAATGAATAACGTGCCTCTGTACTTCCTGCTGCTTCTGTTTGAAATGTTCTTTTCTACCTGCCTTATCAATTGGCCTGTAAACATTTTCTACTTTCTCCAGACAAAACGCAATGTATTCCTCTTTTGCACCCGCACAGCACCTAGAAAAACCTTTACCTAATATTTGGGACATTATCTTACAAGCTACAGTAGGCCAGTGAGCTCCCATTGGAATCTCTGCTGCAAAACAAAATTCAGCTTTTAGAATATTATAGGATTACAAATTTCTCCAGCCTGCAGGGCTCCGTGGACTCTGCAACTCACCGGCAGGGATAGTGTATACGAGCTCCACATGGGCATCTTCAGAGCTTTGCCAAATCCACTGACGTATTCCTTATGGTAAAGGAGACAGTGGTCCACGTTCTTCTGAATAACCCTGGGCCTCCCAAATGGCAAATTTACTTTCACTGTTGCTGTTACTAAAATTAAAATAACATAAAATAAAAAGATTTTTGAAATCAGCAAATGCTTCTATGCATATAACAACTACCACTCTCCTATGGTTTATTACAGGGGATGAGGTACTCTAACAAATGCTTATCATCTTTAACCTCTTTTAATTCTTACATTAACCCTATGAGGTAGGTGTTATTTTTCCATTTTTCAGATTACAAAACTTAGGCTTAGATAAGTAATTTGGCCAAGCAAGATGCTAAGCAAGGATCTGAAGCCTGCTCTCTGTGGCTCCTTATATTTTATAGCTCACAGGACATATTTGAAGAGATAAAACCTCAAAATCAAAAATGCATACTTGATAACAAAGATGACCTACTTTAGTAATTGTCACAGGAAAGATACTGGAATTTTATAAAAGTATGCCTGCTATGGTCTGAATGTTTATATCCCCCCCAAATTCTATGTTTAAATCCTAACCCCAAGGTGATGGTGTCAGGAGGTGGGGCCTTTGAGAGGTGATTAAGTCATGATGAATGGGATTAGTGCTTTTATAAAAGACACCCCATAGAAACCCTCACCTCATCTGCCATGTGAACTTAGAGAGAGAAGGCAGCCATTTATGAGAAAGCGGGCCCTCACCAGAAACCAATTCTGCTGGAGCGTTGACTTTGGACTTCCCAGCCTCCAGAACGATGAGAAATAAATTTCTGCTGTTTATACACCACCCAGACCATGGTGTTTTTTTATAGCAGCCAGAATGGACTAAAACAACATCCTAATATATTTATTTATTTTTACTTGTATGCTATTATAACTTAGAAATCTATCAATTATTGATAGTTGAAAAACCTGCACGCTATTCATGCCATGAATAATACTCAGTAGATTGTAAGAAGATTATCAAAACAACTAACACATTCACTGAACACTTAACTGTAGACCAGGCCCATGTATTAACCCATTTAACCTTCATAGTATCTCTATAAAGTAAGTATCCTCATTTTATACACGACGAAACTGAGACTTACTGAGTTTAATACAAGAATACGTAAAACAAAACAGGTAATAATATCGCTACAGAACAGGCACTTCTGCAACTTCTTTCCATGCATTAATTTTTTAAATGTTTATAGCTACATGAGGTGAGTACAGTTATAGATGAGAACAGTGAGGCACAGAGAGGTTAAGTGATTTGCCCCAGGTTACACAGCCAGGAAGCAGCAGAGGTAGGACTCAGACCCAGGCAGCTGAGTCTGTTTACATCTAAGAAAGGGAACAGGGAACTGCAGATGAGGCAAAACCATTTCAAGGAAGTTATTATGTTCCTGGAACCATTGTAACTACTCCCCCTTCCCCGTGCTTACTACCGTTGTTATTAGATCTGTTGTGGGTTTTTTTTCCCTCCTGTATATTGGCAATAAAATCTTTATGTTTGAAAGTCTCTGTGAGCTTATTTTGGAAAATCCCAGAATAGCAATGTTGTCTTTTGTTAGGTCTAAACATCAAAGACTTACATGTTTTCTATTGACTTACTTTCTTCTTGCGTGAGATTTAGCATTTGATTCACTTGTTCTACACGAGCACTCTGCAAGATATTGAGGGGAGGGGGAGGAAGTAATCAAAGAAATAACACATGTTTTGAAAGGTGATCAAGATTATTTCTGCTGTAATCACATTAAGTGTTTTATTACTGAACGAAGAAGCCAGACTCACTTGAGTTTAAGTTCTGATTCTGCCACTGCTCAGAAATACAGAGATACTGATGCCCCCTGCATCCTTTTTTTATGTTTGTGGGAGTATGCAAAGATACAATTGATAATGGGGCAAAGCATCTGACCACAGCTGGAATCAACTCCTGAGCTGGGACGACAACAACACAGTGATCCTCAAGATTGAACATGCATCGAATCACATGAGGGTTTTGTTAAGATACGGATTCTTATTCAGTAAACCTGGGTTGGGGCCTGAGATGCTGAATCTCTAGCCAACTCACAAGTGATCCAGATGCTGGTCCTGGGGCCACACTTTGAGTAGCAAGGGGCATTCGTTACAGAGAAGAACCCAGGGTTTGGAGTCAGAGAGACCAAGCTTCTGTGACCTCGGACAATTTACCTAACTTCTCTGAGCTCTCTTTAAATCTCTAAAATGGGGAATACCCACTTTGTATTGTCATTATGATTATCTTTTAATAGCTACTTCATTGAGGTTAGCAAGAGTAGCAGGTAGGAAAACCACACCCGTACTGATGATATTTGCTGTGGATTTGACTTTTATTGAGTAGTTTGACAGGACTATTGTGTCTTAAAGCCTCTTTTGGTTGATTATTTATTTCTGTGATATAATGGTATTTTAAGGATTAGAGAATGTAAAGTCCTATCCCTTTTATAAGGAAAAATTCTTACCTGAGGCAGCAGATGTTTATTTAGCTCCACAACCACATTTTGAACTTGACATCAAACATACCTTGACATTAGTTTTAATTTGATGGACTCTTGATAACCGGGCTTCAAGTTCATTCTGAAATCCCAACCCCACCCAGGTGCTCTGATTTTCACAGGTGGACTTGGTTCCTATACTTTGAACTCCTATTCTGACCCCTTTCCCTGTGGAGCTTCCTAGCACCAGAACTTCTCTTTGTTGAGTCTCCTGGGATCTAAAGTCCTACTTGTGAACTCAGTCCAGGGCCTGATCTACTAAAAAGACCTTTCCAGTGTCAAGTATCTGTCAGTCAGATTCTCCACTGCTACCCAAAGGAATACCCCACAGCACCTACACTAGTGGATGTGTCAAAGAGCAGGTTACAACAGCCTCCCAGTTCTTTGTGCTCTAAATAACCAAGCATGACCATCTGATTCTTCAACTGTAAGAAGAATGGTTTATGAGGGAAATCAAAGAGAGCTCCAAGATCACTATTTCGAATGGTTAAGGACAGTTAACTCACAATGCAATTAACAATTAGTCTCCAAATAATGCCTTCCAGTTTACAAGGCACATTCACATACTTAATCTTATAATGTATGCATTAGAATCTCTCCTTTCTAGATAGGCTTCAGAGAAACCACATACATTTACTAAGTAAGTATTCAAGCCAGAGCACAAAACTGGTTACAGCCACCCTGGTTTAGACTGGCATGTCCCCTTACATTCCCATGCATGCATCAAGTTATTACTTACATCTTGTAGCTGAGGGCATGAACAGTCTAGAGGATCTGTGGGCAAAGGAGCAGTAAAGCCACAAACAGAAGACGTTGACACTTCCTCTGCATGGGATGGCTCGTAAAAAGGCACCTTCAGAAGATGGTTTAAACTACCATGGGTTCCATTGTTTGGTGCTGGTTGAATGCGTAGGAGATCTGTTTTTTGAAAAAAATAAGTTCAAAGTAGCTTTAAATTGGAAGGCAACAACTCCTACGTGGGAGATGGGAAAAAACAAACACCTACTATCTCACTTCCTTTAATACATTCTGCTGTAATGAGGTCATGTCCTACAGATGCCATTTGTTTTACTGACTTTCTTCCCCATAGTTTCCAGCATCTAGTCTTTCTAAAGAATAAGAGGCAGCTGGGCTCAGCTACTTGGGAGGCTAAAGCAACAGAATTGCTTGATCCCAAAAGTTCAAGGCCAGCCTGGTCAACATAGCAAGACCCTGCCTCTAAAAAAAAAAAAGAAAAATAGGAATAATCACTGCAGATGAACCGCAGGAACCTTCATGAACTGTTTCTGCTCCTTCAGAGTAAAGCTTCACTGCGTAAATGACCACTTTGTCCTTGAGCATATCATGGTTTTGTAGTATAGAAAGCTATACTCTTAATAAAAACAAGTTTAAAGAAGTCAAATAATTTAGAATCTTACTTGTAGTATATTTGCTTAATTATATGAAAATTCTGTAAGGATAGATACTTTTTAAAAATTAAAATTTTGCTCAATATTTACAGAACTTTTTCTAATTTTTTTCTATGAAGACAAAACATACAAATATTTTACAAACATAGCCTTTTAAGTGGCTCCAGCTGACTTTTACCTACTAGACCTCTCCTAGGACTAGAAGTCTATCTAGTTCCTTCTAACCATCCCTCAAGGGGCAGAGGTCCTGATCACAAATCCAGCCACGGGAGCTAACAATGTAAGTGGTTAAGGTTACAATATACCATCTTTAGATGGATACGTTTTGGTCTCTAAGTCACATTCAATTAAGAGAGTCACAATCAAGATTGAGAGGACAATGGTGAGCAGGTTTATGCCCAAATTCCTAAAGCTAACAGTGCAATTACAGCTTACTCATTGCCTTGCCTACGTAAATGATTTGTTAATATAATGGTCTGAGGGAAGCATGTAGGTACAGAGGTAGGTTAGGCTCCCGAAACCCTAAGGTTTAAAAAAAACCTTTAAAGTTTTTAACATTGAGTGTAATAACATGTCTATCCAAATAGGACTTTCTTTTTTTTTTTTTTTTGAGACAGAGTCTCACTGTGTTGCCTGGGCTAGAGTGCCATGGCGTCATCCTAACTCACAGCAACCTCAAACTCCTGGGCTCAAGCGATCCTCCTGCCTCAGCCTCCCGAGTAGCTGGGACTACAGGCATGGGCCACCATGCCCGGCTAATTTTTTCTGTATATTTTTAGTTGTCCAATTAATTTCTTTTTAATTTTTTTAGTAGAGACGGGGTCTCGCTCTTGCTCAGGCTGGTTTCGAACTCCTGAGCTCAAACAACAAATAGGACTTTCTTATCATCCTTTTATGTCAGATGCCTTCTGTCTGTAATTACAAGAATATACTTGTGTTTTTAGTGTGCTTATCCTGCTTTGAAATGTTGGAAGTGTTATTTTATTTATCTAAGTTTTATTAAATTGTCATCTAGTAAATAATTAATTAATGATTATTATTTTATTTATTATTATTAATAATTAATATTTAATAATTAATAGAGAAGCTTGGTCTCCTGAGTTCTAGAGTTGATCATTACTAGTAAAACAGAAAGAATTCACTCTTATAGCTGAGTAATTCTGAATAATAAATATTTCTTCCTTGTCTTTTTTTTACTTTCTGTCTTCTTGCTGCAGAGCATCTAGCCTCTGGGATTCAATTTATCACCAATGTCAAATTATATTTAAATCTATGCACACCTTGCTGGGGAGTTGATGTAAATATACTTACCACACATTAGGTTATAGACTTCAATATTTTCAAATGGTTCGATTTCAGTCTTCTCTTTGAAACTGGGTCCGTACGCCAAAAAGAGAGCCTGGATTGTAATTATTACTAGATGTCAATGAAACTCAAAAAAGTGACACACCTTCCTTCTGTAACAACTCTCCTATTTGTTTTAGGCCTCTGTGAGGATTTGTTTTTTGATTTACAAATGATTTTCATATCATTTCCATCCCTGATGTTTACCAATCAAACATAATCTGTGCTGTGTTTATTCTCCTGTCTCTACCTGCTTCCATAGCAGGTCATGTGCCAATAGAGGAAGAGGATATAAGCAATAGTGGACAACCAGTATCGGTATAATATCTGGATAATATATATTAGAAATTAATCGTATAACATCATATGTTCTTTGCACATTCCTTTCATATCATTGCTCAAATATGTTAATATATGATGAAAAATGTTGACATTTCTAAGCATTAAATTTTTGTGCAACTTCCTAATCCACTTATTTCTCCTCTTTCTTTTTGGGATGAAGAGATCTAAATATTTTGATTTATATTTAATTAATTAATGTTAACCTAATTATATTATTTATAACAGATCTAACTGGTTTAGATTGTAAACAACTAGAAGAAAAGTATCAAACATAGGTAAGAAATTCTTTTTTGGTAATGGGGATACATATAAATATATATATATATTTTTTTGAGATAGAGTCTTGCTTTGTCACCGTGGGTAGAGTGCAGTGGTGTCATCATAGCGCACTGCAACCTCAAACTCCTGGGCACAAGGGGTCCTCCTGCCTCAGCATCCCAAGTAGCTGAGACTATAGGCCCACACCACAACTCCTGGCTAATGTTTTAGTAGAGATGGGGTCTCGCTTTTGCTCAAACTCCTGAGCTCAAGCAATTCTCCGGCCTTGGCCTCCCAGACTGCTAGGATTATAGGTGTGAGCCATATGTATATTTTTTTCCCCAAGATAATCATCAAAGAATTGGAGACATAGGTTTTTCTTGCAGTAATTAATTTAATTATGAAAAAGTACCCTAATTAATAGAAAAGCTCTGTCTCCAGAGATTTTTCAAATATTTACAAAGAGATATAGCTCACCATGACAACGCTAAGAAGCAGTATAGTCATAAAGACCCTAACGCACGTTTTTTATATTTGGAAAATAGGGTGTGTGTGTGTGTGTGTGTGTGTGTGTGTGTGTGTGTGTGTTACAAATGAAATTAGATAAGACAATCAGGTTTCAAAAATCACAAAGCTTTACCTTTGGGAGTATATCAGCTGCATTTTAGTCATAGACTCAGATACACTCCCAACTTAGGGCCTTTGCACTGGCTGTTTCTTCTGCCTGGGACACTTGTCCCTTGACAATTTTAAAGGCTAATTCCTTTACTTTCTTCAACTCTCTGCTCCAATGTCACCTCAAAGACTCCTACTCTTTCCATCCTACTTAAAGTTGCATACTTCCCCCAGGGTGCCCCAAAATACTCCCAATTTCCCCCTTACCTTGCTCTATTTTTTCTTTATTTTCCATAACAGTTATCACCTAATATACCAAATAATATATTCTTTTGTTACACCTACTGTCTGTATCCCCCTCTTAGAAAGAAAGCTTCATGAGGGCAGGGATCTTAATCTGTGTTGTTCACGGATGTCTTCAAGAGTCTTGAACACTGCCTGTCATAAAGTAAGTGCTCAATAATTACCTGTTTGTAAAAAGCAGTACATTACCTCCATGCTTTTAAACTCATTGTTATAACCGTGATTGCCTCCTCCACAATATGAACTTGTACTACTCCTATAAAGAAAAATATTATTACACACTGATCAATATACTGATGTGAGCCCTTATTATAGCAGCTTTAATGGATTTTTATGTAGCCTCTGCTTTTATACAGGAACATTTTTCTGTCAACAGCAGCTTAAATATGTTTATTTTCATGCCCAAATTCATAAGCATAATGGAAAAAACAGAATAGTAAGAGAGAAGAAAGCAAAATTCCAGGGTCTACAAATAGAATTCAAAAGTCTTTTGACTCTCAGATATCGAGAAAAGGATAGTAACAAAGGCACAGATTAAAAGAAAAGAATTTGTCCTCAGCTCACCTGTACCTTTCGTCAGGGCAAGTTAATGATAACACAGTCATGTGTCACTTCATGATGGGACTATGTTCTGAGAAATGCATCATTAGGCGATTTCACTGTGCAAACATCACAGAGTGTGCTTATACGAACCAAGCTGGTACAGTTCACCACACACCAAGGCTACATGGCATAGCCTATTGCCCCTAGGCTACAACCTGAACAGCATGTTACTGTACTGAATACTGTAGGCAACTGGAACACAATTGTGTGTCTAAACGTATCTAAACATAGAAAAGGTACAGCAAAAATACAGTATTATAATCATCTATGTAAGTGCACCATTGTTAACCAAAATGTCACTATGCAGCACGTGACTGTACTTGGCAAGGAGCAGTTTGAGAATCTGAGTTTCAGATTCAGAGCTTATTTTTAGCTTTTGGGATTTTCTTCCATAGGCTGTTACTGTATTATTTGAAAAACTTTTCAAATTTAATTAGTTTGATTTTTTGCCTACCTTTTCATATTTTAATCTTCGAATTGAGCAGTGTTTGCGATTTTACACATAGTTGGTTTTCATACTTGGAAAAAAATAGGGGTAAACGAACTTAGATCTTTTAAAGCAGCAGTGTTTTACTGGGTCAAATTTGGTCTCTGAAGGAAACAAAAGACTCCTATTTCCAAAAGTCAGCCTTAAAAGGTTTCTCTCATTTGCTTCCCCAACCCTCACCTTCTACCCCTGGGGCAAATATACACACACAAACACACACAGGGTTTCTGTTTGTTTTTACATTGATGGCTTAATTGAGAACAGGACAGTAATTTAGTGTCTTAAAAAGTCAACATTAAAAAAATTCATAGCTGACTTTCATTCAGTTTAAATAGAAAATAAAAATAAATCACAAATCAAAAAACAAAACACAACTTTGACCAGGCCACACTCAACTCTACCCAATAGAGGAAAAAAAGAGAAGCTAAGTAAGTACCTGGAATGGGCAAAGCAAGAGGAGTCCTATTTTATAAGGGGTTTAAACTCAATTCCCCTAAGGGAATTTTATGTCCTTTGTTAATTCCAATAAAATCGTTAGTATAGGGTAAAACTTGTTTTAAAAAATACTTTTAGGCCAGGCACAGTGGCTCATGGCTGTAATCCTAGCACTCTGGGAGGCCGAGGCAGGAGGATTGCCTGAGGCCAGGAGTTTGACACCAGCCTGAGCAAGAGTGAGACCTCATCTCTAAAAACATAGAAAAATTAGCTGGGTATGGTGGTGTGCGCCTGTAGTCCCAGCTACTTGGAAGGCTGAGGCAGGAGGATCGCTTGAGCCCAGGAGTTTGAGGTTGCTGTGAGCTAGGATGATGCCACTGCACTCTGGCCAGGATGACAAAAGGAGACTCTGTCTCAAAAAAAAAAAAATTTTTTTTTTTGTTCTTATTGCATAGATATTGCGTTTCCCAAGATTACCGAAATAATTTGATTTGAGTAATGAAGTTTCAAATTCTATGTGGAAAGCTACGGTGTTCATTAATGAAAGAAAGAACAAGGTTTTTTGAACCAAGTCTTTAGTCTTTCTAAAATTTTTTAATATTTCCATATCCTTAATTAAAAAACAGTGGCAAACATTGCCAAATTTCACTCAGAAGCAAAATATTTAAATATTTTTTGTAAAAGTTTTATTTTCTATTGCTTTCCAAGTGAAACCTTTGGAAATTGGCTCATGTTCATGGCTTCTAACTATGAATTTGGCTCTGGAAATTGCATATGGAAATATGGTAGCTGGCATTTGGAAAAGATGAGTCGATTGAGCTGTAATTGAGCTCACCTTCCAAGTCCTATATGAAACTTTTCCTAACAAGTTCTCTATTATCTTCTCCATGTCTAATTAATACAGCTGAAATCAAGGCTGGGTCTCTGTGCCACAGTAATGGCACAGGTGGGAGATGAATGAGTCTTCTCTCCTGATGCTCTATTACGTGCCAAGTCCTAGCTTCCTCTGCAGTACCTTTCTTATTTGTCTTTTCCTTCCTTTCCTCTTCTACCGCCACTGTTCTAGACTGGATCCTCATTACCTCTGACCTGATTAATCATCCTGCCTTCAGAACTTTTTCATCTTCCCTCATCACACACACACACACACACACACACACACACACAGACACACACACACCTAATCTTATTTAACCCTATTTTTCACTGCTGGAAATAGAAAAACACATGTTCTAATGAGAACGAATGTGGGTCAGAATATAATGAACCAGGACTTAGCACTACCCTGGAAAATCTAGGTCATAAGTTAACCATGATACTTTCCTGGAGATGCACGATGTAGCTATTTTCACCATCCTCATCGTTCCACAGGCTCCAGGGCTGTCATAAGGCTGAGGAATGGGTCACTACCTAGCTTTCTAACAGGCCTTCTGCTTCTCCCCAGATCCTCCTCCATGTAGCAGCTAGACGGAACTCTCCAAAATGCAAATCTCACTATAGTCACTCAAGCCACCTTTTGACTACCAATGGCCTCCTACTTTCTTCAAGATCAAAGTCACACTGCTTAGTCATAACATACCAGGCCCTTCACGCAGACAGCGGCTTCATCCAGACAGTGCTCCAGCAGTACAGAACTACTAGCAGTTGCTGGACTCTAGTTCTTCTCTCAGGAAACCTGCCTTTTCTCTACTCTTCCTTGCCCTAGAGCTGCTGCTGGTTTAGAAAAAGGTGTCCAGCTGCTCTGGGCAGATTATTTAGAGAAAGAAGCACCTCTTGAAGGATGTAGCCTGGCAGAGCTCAGGGCTTGGCAAGAAGATGTCACTTTTGGCAAAGAAAAGGAGTCCCTTTCCTCCTGCCAACACAGCCCTCATCAGGGCTTGGGGAACTGAGCAAGGATTGGATTTCCACTCCCACTTACCTTCGTGGCTGGCTGCCTCCGAACAATGCACAGACTGCACCAGGCAGACCTGCTGAGTGGCGACATATAGCCTGCCCCATCCCAAGTCTTCGAAACCCACATCAGGAATCACCCCTACTGGGAGGCATTCTCTGATGGTCCTCAACATCCACACCTGAGTGTGTAATCTTCCTTTTGCTTCTTTGAACCTTGTACTTGGTTAGAGTCTAGCAGTTAGCATGTGATTTTAACTGTTTTCTTCCTTCCCACTGGGCGAAAATCCCTAGGATAGGGTCTTTGTTATCTCTAGTTCTTAGAAAAGTGCTTGGGATGTATTTGTCCGTTGTTTATTCCAAAATAAAAAGCTAATATTCGTGTTCTTTAAAAATGCATTTTAACAATACTTTGACTATGTTTTTGAAACACTGGATTTCCCCAAATTAGTAAAATCTAACAACTTCTAGGGAAAATAGATTATACGAACTATTGAAATTTGCTACAATTATGAAAAATGGGTCTAATCTAGTTACCAAATAATGTACATTATTACTAATGATAATAGACTTTTACTTAGAAAATAGGTAGACTGAGACTCATGGTTTAAATGTTGGAGAAAAGAGTGAACCCAGGATTTATTTATTTTTTTTTTTTTTTGAGACAGAGTCTGGCTCTGTTGCCCTGGCTAGAGTGCCGTGGCGTCAACCTAGCTCGCAGCAACCTCAAACTCCTGGGCTCAAGCGATCCTCCTGCCTCAGCCTCCCGAGTAGCTGGGACTACAGGCATGCACCACCCTGCCTGGCTAATTTTTTCTTTATATATATTTTTAGTTGTCCAGCTAATTTCTTTCTATTTTTCAGTAGAGACGGGGGTCTCACTCTTTCTCAGGCTGGTCTCAAACTCCTGAGTTCAAACGATGCGCCCGCCTCAGCCTCCCAGAGTGCTAGGATTACAGGCGTGAGCCACTGTTCCCGGCCTGAACCCAGGATTTAATCAGTCAGGTTCCCTCACTTGTTCTTGTTAAGGCTGTATTCAAAATTTCCTTTGATGTAGGTTAGTTTATTTTGTATATTAATGGCAAGAGAATGATAAAACTAAGCTAATCTTGTGCTACAGAGGAGAAAAATAAAGCCCTAAGTTATTAATTTTTGCACGTTCCCGTGACTAACTGGGTAGGGAGCCAGGCCGTGAACTCTCAGGCTGCAGTTCTTTTTACATCTCACTGCTGGTTGTTTAAAGGATACAAAGCTCATCACCTGAGACTGAGTATTCATGTATGATACCCAGAGGTATTCTGATGGCCAGACTCTCACTTTATAACCCTTTCTTATTCTGCTTCTTCATAGTGGTCTAACTTCTTTAATCTCATACTTCTAACAGTGAATATTTGTAGAACATAACCCTATTTGGGCATATATTAATTTATATATTACATACCGAAATTACTAACAATATTATGTATTTAATATCAGTAAAACTTAATTTTACTCACATATTTGAGAGAAATACTTTTAGAAAATGTCCTGAGCCTCAGGGCAACCACAGATCTATACAAAGGGCTAAGAAACTTGGATCCCGAGGAGACAGGCCAGTGCCATCTAGTGACCCAGTGTGGAACTGCACACTCTCTGGCCCATTGGGAGTTCCCAGTTATCTTGTAGAATAAGCCAGTTTCTTATCCTGCACATGTGTGTTGGAGCTCAGCCTAACTCCCTTGTCTTCTTTCATCCCCTCTTTCTTTGTCAAACATATCTTTCAGACACTGTATTGCCATTGTCATTGTATCCCCTGGCATTACATTCATACATATAAGATGGGCCAGAAAATACGATCTGATCTGGATACTGTTAATATCCACTTATGCATGTGGAAAAATAGTGGAATGAAATACAAAAATAGGAATCATCAGTTTAGCTACCAGAAAGTGTATACTTATTTGTTTGCTGACTTATTATCCGTTGTCTCCACTACGGTATATGCCCCATGAGGGCAGGGATCAGGTTTGTACCCCAAATGCCTGGAACAGGGCCTGGCACACACATAGCAAGCATTCAATAAAATTTTGTTGAATCAATGAATTAATTGGTTATTTGCGATGGAATGATTCGGAATGGTTTTTGTTTTCTTTACATTTTGCAAATACTCAATGATCAACATGAATTACAATTATAAATAGAAATAAGAAATAAATGTTACAACAAATTCATTAGCTCAGCTGTACAGCCATAAAAGTGCTCTTTTGTAAAAATCCTAAAGCTGACAAAGACCTTAAAGAGCTGTCTAATTAATCACTCACTGCCAGCCTAGACAACTGATATCACCTCTCTGCTGGACATTATGGTGGGGGGTATTATATTGATGCTAACAATCTCTAGGACAGTGGCTGGAACAATCTCAGCCCTCTTCCTTATTCTCATCTGTATTGTGAAGACTAGGATGCTAAGATCAGTAATCTAATAACAATAACTTGCAATACAAAAGTGCTAAAAAAGCATTTAAAACGTCAATCAAATGTCAATGCCCAGGAAAATAGACAATGATCATAATAGCAGGGTAAGGTTAAGTCAATTTATAATAAAAGATGATTCTTCAAAGTATTATGAGATAAATTAATAGACACACGAACCTCGTAGCCAGCCATTGTCGATCCACCATAAGATTGACTTTGTCAATTCTGACGTTTTTGGCATAGTGTAGTCGTTTTGGCAAATCAGGAGACAAATAGGGTTTGAAATGCTGATCGGGTTTTCGGCACTAAGAAATGAGTAAATATATCATGACATATAAAATATGCAAACTAATTCAAAAATTTCATCTTTCTAAGACAATTTATGAAGCACCTTTAAAAGTAAGGGGATTTAAGCTTGGCTAATCAAATAGAAATATTAAACCTATTATTAACATGGTCAAATTACCTAATTATGATTTTTACTGTTGCAAAATTAATCAAGTTGCTATTAAAAATCTGGTTTAAATTTGGTGTTTGATGTTTTAAGTTTTTATTCCTGGGTATACATTTTAAGCCACCATAAATCACCTTCTTTTTTTTTTTTTTTTTTT